TACCTTTACTATAAAGAAAATATATTTGAGTGAAATCTCTCTTTTGTAATGTAATGAAAACTCCATTGTATTTATATGCTAATTTTTTTCTTAAATATTAATTAAAAGTATGTTTGTTTCTTTTAACAAACAAATTTGTTTATTTAAAGTATATTTATTAAAAAAAGAAATATGTTAGAAGTTATTTTATTGATTTAGGTTTATAATTCTTTTTAAAGACAGGTTTAATACAAAGTTTTGCACCTATAAGAATGTGATTAGATGGAAAATGAATATTGGGAAGACCTACTGTTCTCTCAGTGTAATCATCTTCAACAAGAGTAATGATATCAGAAGCAATTAAATTATCAGAATATAAAATATGATCAACAATTCCCTTAAATACGGGCGTAAAACAAGTAAATGAACCATCAGGATCTTCATAAGCAGTAATCAATTTCAAAGTATGTTTGTAATAATCACTTAAATGCCCACTTGTTTTTAGTCCAAAAGGATTATATTCAATTTTTCTATTCATAATCAAATCATAAACCTTTGATTCTTTAGTACTTGCAAGATCTCCCATAATAATAACAGAAGCACCTTTATATTTATTTCTGATCTTTTCCAGATCTTCTAGCAAAAATATCATTTGCAACAACCTTACATTATGATTATTCGGTTCAGTACATAGTTGAGTATTAACAACAATAAAAACCTCATCTATTCCCTTCTCTAGAACAACAACTAACCCAACTTCACCTCTTTTCCCATAAAGGTTATGAATTTCATAATTATTCTTTAACCTTGTATCAGCAGTTAGCCTGTTATAGAAATTAATTTTAAACTCTTCAACTAATTTAAATCGTTCATTCTTCCAAAATATAGCACAACCATCAGCAATCTTAGTGTCCTTAACTGCCTCAATTTGCATCTTCTCAAAATAAGAGGATTGATAATTTCCTTTTGAATATAATCCATCACGGTAACATTCATAATACAAGTATGTCTCAACCTCTTGTAAACACAAAATATCTAAATCATAGGAGATTATATTTTTCAAAATTATATCCTTTCGACTTTCAGGTGCAATAGTCCACAGGGGTGTGTAAAGTATCTTTGATGCATTAAAATTAGACAATATATTGTAAGTTCCTACACTAATTGATTCAAAATCATTTCTGTTAACGATATTACTGGTTTCAACCCACATTCTTGTATTGGGAGGCTTGTAATTATTATTATTGTCTCTACAAAACCTTAAAAGTGCACCATCCTTATACAAACTATGAAAAGGTGACATCAATGGGTTGTTAGTAAGGTTAAGACAGACTAAATTATACAATGATCCAATTTCCATAGGTACCGTGCTAATTAAATTATCATTTAATAGCAATTCTCGCAAATTAAA